GTGGCTGCAGTCCAGCAGGAGGTGCCATCTGCTCCATCTCCGGGAGTTCATACAGATGCAGATCAGGTCAGTGGCAACCACTTGACCTGCGGATGGGCACTGGGGAGGATGAAGGGAACCACCACAGACCAGGGCCTACCCTGCTACCCCATGACGACATCTCAGGGTTCTTATTTTTTCTCCCCTTTTCTTCATTTCCATAGCACTCGAATTTCTTGAAACTTTTGAGTTATCTGAGTTAGGAAGGGAGGTGGAGTTGACTGAAAACAGCCCTGTGGACCTGGGAAGCCTTATTCTCAATCCAGGGCAGATGTCCTTACATTCTTTTAGACCTCCGTGGCTCAGTTTTATTCAGGATCTTAATTCTCTCTCTTTGCAGTGCTCTCTTAGTGAGGGATGGCTGAGGGAATTCTGCAGTTAGGTAGATGTGAAGCCCACCAGGCTGTCGCAGGAAGGATGTTTGTGTCCTTCTCTTTATGAGTTACTGTGGCTGCTGACTCTCAGTGGTCTCTGTGCCCATGAAAGTGTTCCTCACCATTGCTTTCTGTGCCTTACCCCCAAACATGGACATGGATTTCGAGCCTGAAGTTTTGGCTTCTTATGATGGAATACAAATTGAGATCTTGTAATAACTTTTTTCATTCTCTTAGTTTATCAGTTAGCAAGTAAATAGTGAGGTTGAGCTCTTTCTACTGATGTGCTCAGATATATACTAGAAACTTGGGAAGCTTGGAAAGAAAGACAAGTCAAGTCTTCAAAGATCTTAGAGAACAAAGAAGTACAAAGACCTTAGTGCCCAAAAGAGTACAAAGTAAATGGTCCTAACTCAGAGTGACATATGAGTTTAGAGAAGAGTTGGCTGCATTCCTGCTCAGTGACTTTTGGGATACTTGAGCAGTTTCTCGAAAGATTGGTAGGATTTGATTTGGAGTTAGAAGAAAACTGGAGAGAGAACAGTGTGTGTAAAGCCATGACTTGTATGTGACTGAATTGGGGATGAGTGGGTAAAGTGGAGACAGCACACCTGATGTTAGAAAAGGTCATTGTCAGGGAGAAGTATGAAAGCCAAGTAACTTTGTAGGTAGCAGGGGTCATGGCTGGCTATTGAACAGCAGATTAATAGGATAAGGACAATACTTTGGAAAGAATCATCTGGGAACATGTGCCTGGAGAAGAAAGAGGAGTTAAGGAACCTAGTAAGAGATTCTTGGGGCTCATTTAGTTACTAGGGTAAGACGTTCGTTTTTTGGTTGTTGTTGTTGTTTTTAAAGATTTTATTTATTTGACAGACAGAGATCACAAGTAGGCAGAGAGGCAGGCAGAGAAGGAAGAGGAAGCAGGCTCCCTGCTGAGCAGAGAGCCTGATGCGGGGCTCGATCCCAGGACACTGGGATCATGACCTGAGCCGAAGGCAGAGGCTTTAACCACGGAGCCACCCAGGAGCCCCAGACGTTCGTTTTAGACTATGGTAACAGCATCGGGATCAGAGGATGAGGTTGAGACTGGTTTCATATCCAGTTCTTTGATTTATCCATCTCTTTACTCATCAGATATTTGAATGTCAATATATGAAGGGACAGAGTAGTGTTTGAAAATAAGAATCTGATTCCAAGTCCATGACTTACTGTGTGACCTAGGAAGACGGCCTAACATCTTTTTGCCAGTTTCTTTGTGTATAAAATAGCTGTTGTTAAATACCTACCTTGGAGTGTGTTGAGGATTAAATGACTTAGAGATGACAAATCACTGAAGCACCAGACATTAAACAAAAATCACCTGAATGGCTTAACAATTGCTTCATTAGAAAGTACAGAGTGCTCTGAAAACACAGAAAGAGACCTTATTCAGCCTTGGGATTGGGGTGAAAGTTGAGAAGACCGCCCCGAGGAGGTGACATTTAAATTGGGTGTCTGGTGAAGGCATGGAAAGAGAGTGGTGAAGGCAATGGAAACCTTATGTCCAAATACCCCTTGAATCCAAAGAGGAGGGAAGGAGCTTTATATATCTGAGGACTTGAAAGAAGACCTGCATGCTTGGAGTTTGGCAAAGCGGGATGGAGATGGTGCTGGGGAGGTAGGAGAGACTTCTTCTTGCAGGGCATTGGGGAGAGTGTTTAGGATTTTGGGCTTTATGTGAAGGGTGATAGGACATTATGGGAGGATTTTAAATTTGGAAATCACATGGTGGGGTTTGAGGCTTGTTCATTTGTTTGTTTAGAGACTATGTTGGGGGCATAGTGGCTCAGTGGGTTGAGCATCTGCTTTCGGCTCAGGTCATGATCCCAGGGCCTTGGGATGGAGCCCACATGGGGCTCTCTGCTCAGCCGGGAGCCTGCTTCCGTCTCCCACTCCCCCTGCTTGCATTCCCTCTCTCACTGTCTCTTTCTCTGTCAAATAAATAAGTAAAATCTTAAAAAAAAAAAAAAAGACTATGTTAGCTCCTCTGTAGAGAATAAATGGAAGCGTGTGTGAATAAATGAGTGTGAATCTAGGGACAACAATTTAGAGGAAAGATGGTGTTTGGGTTAGGCAGTAACAATGGATGTGGACAGAAATGAATAGATTTGAGAAAAAACTTAGAAGATCTTTGAAAAAGGAAAGCTGATTCAGTTGAGAGAGGTGCCAGGGACGAGATGTGACAGCAGTGAGGTGACTGCGTAATGTGACTAGAGAGGTAGACTGTTGGAGAAGTGGAACTTCTGGTGAGGTTAACTTTTGTACACCGCTGTCTTGGATGTGCTTGTGAGTCACTGGGTCATGAGGTCAGCAGTTTTAGATAGCTGGTGCTTGAGTATAGAGAGAAGGTCTGCATGGAAATAAACATTCAAGAGTAGACACAGGATAATGGAAGTCAAGAGAGCATATGGCATTGCTTAGGGAAAGGTACGGATTGGTATGAGAAATGGAACCCTGAGGGTTAGGACTGCTCCTTAGAAAATAGAACAGCTCAAGGTCAGTAGAGGCTGATGAAATGGCAGAGGGAGTAGAAGGTGAAACAGGAAAATCTGGATTGTGTAGCATCATGAAGACAAGGGAGCAGAACGTTAGAAGTGGCAGGGAGTCCTCTGTCAAATGTAGTAGGACAAGAAAGAGTTACCAATATGGACAGAGAACCATTTCAGTGGAGTTTGGGGGTGTGGGGGGGTTGAAGCCAAACTAGTATCACCTGAGGAATGGCTGGATAGTGAGAATAGATGCAGTGAATGTAAACAATTATTACCAGTTTAGCAATCAAAGGAAGGGGGGATGAAGCTGGGGTTGGGGAAGTGGGGTTCAGGTGTGATCGGAGGGTGCCTTAGAGGGGAGGTTGAAGAGACAGGAAGGAATTGATAGCACAAGCTCCTTGAGAAGGAGGAGAGCTGAGGCCCTGAGTGTGGAGAAGGATTTGATAGGAGGGCTGATTGAGGGGAGAGCAGGGAAAATGTGGTGGTGGGGATTCATGAAGGGGATTATAGATTTGGTGATGGAACTGCTCACATAGTGATTTTATCATCTCTGCAGGGGTGATGAGGAAGAGGGGGAAGAGCAAGTGGTTCTGAGGTATATTGGGAGACTAGGAAAGTTTTGAGTAGTCATTATGGAAAGCTGATTGGAAACAAACTATATAATTGTCGTATCACATTAAGTGCCCCAACACCCCATCCTGGTAATTCCTGTAAAGTCCTGTAAAGCTCTCTCAAAAGCTCTCACCTCTTTACTGCTCGCCTGAACTCAGGTTCCTTGTATTTTTCACCTGCATTACTCTTCTAGTTTTCTAATTGGTCTCTTGACTTCAGCCTTGTCTACCTCTAAGCGTCTTCCATATTATCCTCAGAATAAGTTTTTCAATAAGAAAATACATGTTGTTCCTAACGTTATTTTAAATGGTATTTCTGGTGTGCCGAGTTTGATAAGTCATAATCCTTGGTTCATGATACCTCTCAGCAGTGGTCCAATCATGGCCCAATCTTATTTACTTACTATGTTTTAATGATGTAATAAGCATTCCCCAGCTCCACCCACTGCCTGCCCCTACCTATGGTAACAATGGTTCTGATTCCTAGGTTCATCCTGCCCTGTGTCCCTTTTTCTATAGTTTTATTGTGTTTACATGGGTTTTTCAAAAGTACTTCTTATTATGGAAAATTTCAAACTTATGCAAAAATAGAAAAATACATGAATCTCTGCACACCTGCTAACCAGCTGCAATATTTATCAACACACAGCCTTTCTCTCCAGGCCATTTCCCTCCACTGTGGATTATTTAGAAGTAAATTCCAGATACCATATGTTCTATATATTTTATACACACACACACATACACACATTTTATATATATATATATATATTTAAGTGTAGAAGGTCTTTGTGCTGTATGTAATTTGGGGGGAATACTTTCTTAATAGCTTATTGTCAAGATCCATCTGTATTGTTGCATGTCGTTGTATTTTGTTAATTTCGATTTCTCTGTAGTATTGAACCATGTGAATATACTGTGGTTCATTCATCTTCTCTTCTGATAATGGCCATTTGGGTTGCTTCCAGACTTCCATTAACTGAATAGTGCTGCTGTGGACTTCCCTACACATGCCTCCTGTTGCTATAGGAGCAAGAGTTGCTCCTGCAGAATCCCTGGATCAGAGGGTGTGTGAATGTTCAGCTTTAGGATAGGATGCCAAACAGTTTTCAAAGCAGTTTTACTGATTTACACTTCTGTCAGCAGTGTTTAAAAGAATGGTTTCAGCTGTAGTGTTGATGATCTTTATTCTGATTAATAGTCTTCAGTGGCTTCCTGTCATTTGAAGTGCTCATCAGTCTTCTCTTCATATTTCGGAGTACTTACTCTATCAGGCACTGTGCTAGATGCTGGAAATACAACAGTGGGGAAGACAGACTTTCTCTTCCTCATTTGAACATACTGAGCCCTTCCCGATCTGGCATGGTTCTATCTCCCCGGCCTCAGCCTGTCTTCCTAGCTTCATTTCTTGCCACTCCCTCTAACTCACCCCAAACATAATGAAATATTTATAATTTCCAAAAATGCTCTGCTCTTTCTTCACTCGATGGTCTTCCAAGTGTTGTTACCTGTGTCTTCAAACTTCACTTTCCCTCTCACCCATGGAGTCTCAGATGAAACAAAAGACTTTCAGGAAGTTTTCCCCAGTCTCCCCGGGCTGAGTCTGTCTTCCTCCTCTGTGCTCCCATGGCACTTTGTGCAGATCTCTGTATAGTATGACAGGTTTATTGGTGATTTTCGTGTCTGTCTTTTCTGGTAGAAAGTACTCATTATTAAGAGCAGGGACATTGTCTTTCGTCCCTGCATTTCCAGTATCCAGTGTACTACCGGAAACATAGTAGGGTATTTGGTCAATGTTGAATGAATAAACAGAAGAAAGGAAAATTTGAGACATTTCGAAGGAATAAATGAGCGAACTTGCTGATAGATTTGATAGTGAATGAAGGAGATTAAAAATCAAGTAGGATTCAAGAGTCCCTCCCCGGGTGACTGGAAGGACTTCAATGTATGTAATTGTACAGGTAAGGGGACAAGTTTTGAAGGGGGCTGGGAATATCTGTAGCTGTCTTCACTGCTTCTGAATCGGTCACAGAAGTCTTTGACCTTCATGCTTCCTGTTCCCCTCTTCTCAATATATCTTTTTCTTCTTATCTTTCAGGTGCAGAATTTGGCAGTGAGGAACCAACAGGCCTCAGCCCAAGGACCCCAAATGCAAGGCTCTACTCAGAAGGCCATTCCTCCTGGAGCCTCCCCTGTCTCTAGCCTCTCCCAGGCCTCTAGCCAGGCCCTCGCTGTGGCTCAGGCTTCCTCTGGGGCCTCAGGCCAGTCCCTCAACCTCAGTCAAGCTGGCACAGGCAGTGGGAGTAGCATCCCAGGGTCCATGGGGCCAGGTGGTGGTGGCCAGGCACCTGGGGGCTTGGGTCCGTTGCCTTCCTCAGGAATGGGTGGGGGTGGGAGCTGTCCCAGGAAGGGCACAGGAGTGGTGCAGCCCTTGCCTGCAGCCCAAACAGTGACTGTGAGTCAGGGAAGCCAGACAGAAGCAGAAAGTGCAGCGGCCAAGAAGGCAGAAGCAGATGGGGCTGGTCAGCAGAATGTGGGCATGAACCTGACACGGACAGCTACACCTGCTCCCAGCCAGACCCTTATTAGCTCAGGTAAGCTCTCACCTCTCACAATGTCATTCTCTCAGAACTTGTTTGAAATCCTCAGAGTACTTTTCTTTGCCATTTATCCTGCTTCTCTGGGTCCTGGAGTAGTGGAAGGAAAAAAAAAATCACATCAGCCTTTATCAGATTAGTCCAGGGAGAGAGTAGGACAGGTAGCAGAAGTAGATCTCTGTTCCACAAGGCAGCAATCTGTACAAATTGCTTTGTCCCCTTCTTAGGCCCTGAGTTTGTCAGTTTATCCATCCCACCCATTCATTTATCCAGTTCTTACTGGGTATTGCCTACTGTGCTGTAGGAGGTGTTAGGGATGCATCTTTTTTTTTTTTTTTTAAGTTATTAACATATAATGTATTATTTGGGGATGCATGTTTGAACAACAGATTCCTTGTCCCCATGGAGTTTACGATTTAGTGCAAGGGATGACTTCTCTCCTTACTCTGTTTAATGATGATTAGTTGGACCAGGGTAGAGTGGAGATGGTCTAAGTGCCTTAGAGCACTCAGGACTAGCAAACGGTTAGTTAGTATAGTTAACTTGTGATCATCTGTATCAAGGATAAGGATAAAAAAAGGAATAAATAATAATAACCTCAAATGGTTTATAGTTGCTTTTAGAATGTGGTTCGGTATAGTTAGATGTGCATACCTCACTTGGTAATGTTTATTTTTACCTGCCTTGTTTCCGGCACTTCTGTTGTTGCTCTGTTTGGATGATTTGCTTACAAAAAAGTTAAGAGTTAATCACCAGCTGTACTACTACCACCTAGTATTTACATACCCAAGCACTCTGTTTCCAAAGTGTTTTCATGTCACATGTGCTCTCTGGGCGATCTGGGAGACTGGTGTGTCTTTGCTTCACCTGCAGTGGAGGAAACTGCATAAAGGCTGGGCCTGCAGCCACTGACTCTTATGCCTTCTTGTAGGTGGTGACCAAACTGATGAGTCTGAAAAACCAGGCATTCGTGGGAGGATGTTGGAATCTTTACCTTTGTGGACATTAATTCTCTCAGTGACCATTGAGTCTTTACCATGTGCCGGGCATGGGGCTGGGTTCTAGGGATGTAAAAATGAATAGAGCAAGGACTCAACCCTTGAAGAACTCAGTCTAATCATACAGGAGATGGGCCAGCCATTCTCCTTTGCTGGGTCAAACGATCAGGATTTAGTGTAGCAAAGAAAATAAAAGTTAGATAGCTGCAAGAAATTACCAAGGACCGTGAAATGATTGGGCAAGGGACTTCTTCCCTGGAGGTGCTTCACTATGGAGAGAGACTTGGTTATGTCTGACTCAGAGGCAAGAGTGTGAATGAAATTATCTCTTGGGTCCGCCAGGTTCGATTTCCCTTCACTGTGTGATCCCAGAGCCAAGTGCACCTTGGAAAGGTGATTTCCCTTTCAATTTGTAACGATGATAATTTTCCGCTCTTCTTTGTTCCGCTCGGGGCGCCCCGCTGTAGCCACCTACACGCAGATCCAGCCCCACTCCCTGATTCAGCAACAGCAGCAGATCCACCTCCAGCAGAAACAGGTGGTGATCCAGCAGCAGATCGCCATCCATCACCAGCAGCAGTTCCAGCACCGGCAGTCCCAGCTCCTCCACACAGCCACACACCTCCAGCTGGCCCAGCAGCAGCAGCAGCAGCAGCAGCCGCCGCCCCCGCCCCCGCCGCCAGCTGCCACCCTCACTGCCCCTCAGCCACCGCAGGTCCCACCTACTCAGCAGGTCCCTCCTTCCCAGTCCCAGCAGCAAGCCCAGACCCTGGTTGTTCAACCCATGCTTCAGTCTTCACCCTTGTCCCTCCCACCTGACCCAACCCCCAAGCCACCCATCCCCATCCAGTCCAAACCACCTGTAGCACCTATCAAGCCTCCTCAGTTAGGCGCTGCTAAGATGTCAGCTACCCAGCAACCACCACCCCATATCCCTGTGCAAGTGGTGGGCACCCGGCAGCCTGGGACGGCCCAGGCACAGGCTCTGGGGTTGGCACAGCTGGCCGCTGCTGTCCCTACTTCCCGGGGCATGCCCAATACAGTGCAGCCCAGTCAGGCCCATTTGGCCTCCTCGCCACCTTCATCCCAGGCTGCCGGGGCCCTGCAAGAGTGCCCTCCCACGCTGGCGTCTGGGATGAGCCTCGCTCCTGTGCAGGGGACAGCGCATGTGGTAAAGGGTGGGGCTACCACCTCCTCACCTGTTGTGGCCCAGGTACCTGCTGCCTTCTACATGCAGTCTGTGCACCTGCCGGTGAGTGAGGTCTTGAGTGGACCTGGGGCTCAGTGGAGCTTAACTTAGGAGGGGAGTAATGAGTTCGGAAGGTTGAGATACTGATACTTATCATTACTTCCTTAGAAGCCCCATCTCCAAATACAGCCATACTGGGGTTAGGACTTAGGAATTGGGTGGGGGAGGGGAACCGCAAACATTTAGTCCATAACAAATAGATAATATGTGTGGGTGAGTGAGCATGGCAGGTGAATATGGTATTGCACCAACTGCTCTGTGAATCATATTGTTTCATCTGTAACAACGATCTGTTACAAACTGTAACACTTAAAAGATATGGTTTGTCCTTTTGTAAGAGAGGCATTGATGGAAGGTTAAGACACTGGTATTTATTTGTTCCTTTTGTAGGAAAGACATTACCGTGTATAATAATCTGTACTTCACACTGCTTGATTTGCTCCTGAAATCATTCTGGGTTTTTGGATCTGTACTAAATTAGGTCAAGATAGCCTTACTCACTTAAGTTGGTCTTTAGAAAAACGGTGGTTCTCGGTGGAGCCATAATGAACTAGAATCCTGAGGTGTAGGTCAGGACTAAATGTGACATTTTCTTTTGTCCTGATGTAGAAGATACACTTCTTGGGAATGACCGGGAATTCTAGTGTACCATGGGAAGTATGCAGATTGGGTAATCTGGAACCAAGAACATTTTCACTAATAGTATGGTGGTCATTGAGGTTCCTTATGTCCTTCATTCATACATCTTGGTTTCTTTCCTGTTTTTCATTGTATAGAGCAAACCCCAGACATTGGCTGTCAAACGCAAGGCAGAGTCTGAGGAGGAGAGAGATGATGTCTCCACATTGGGTTCAATGCTTCCTGCCAAGGCATCTCCAGTAGCCGAAAGCCCAAAGGCCATGGAGGAGAAGAGCAGTCTTGGAGGTAACTGACTTCTGCAGTGTGATTTGAGTGCAGAGATTAGAGAACTGTTCTGAGTGAGCTCAGAGCTAAATCTGGTTCTGTAGAAGATGACCCTGAACTTGGTGGACCAATGGGTAGATCCAAAAACAGGGACTCCAGGGTGAATGATCAAAGGTGAACATGTATTATTGTGGAAGATCAGACTGGCTTGGCTAATAGATGGATCAGTTACGTCATCCTCTTATCTGTTCCTTAATCTGTTCCAGAGAAAGCTGAACCGGTGACTGGTGTGAATGCTAGTACTCCAAGCAGTGAACTAGTAGCCTTGGCTCCTGCCCCAGCTGCACCCCCCCCTACACTAGCCATGGTGTCCAGACAAATGGGTGACTCAAAACCCCCACAGGCCATCGTGAAGCCCCAGATTCTCACCCACATCATTGAAGGCTTCGTTATCCAGGAAGGAGCAGAGCCTTTCCCGGTGAGGGCAGGGCCATAAGGTGGGACTTTCAAGTGGGGACTTGATCTGATTATTATCTTTCCAAAGTTCACTAAAATCAAATCTCAGAACTATTTAATTATTGGAGAATGGTTTAATTCTATTGTTTGTATAGTTAATTGTGGAGGAGGAAGGGAAGGGGGAAAGGAAACAGTATGTGTAGACCAACAAATGCAAATGTTGGGAAGAGGAGAAGAGAAGGAAGAAGCTGTAATGTTTAGTTACACAAACTAGGCTGTCTCATAATGAAGAAATTTGTGGTAGAGAAGTTAAGGGACTTTTCTAGATACCAGGAGTTGCAGAACTAGGCCTAGAATGCAGGTGTCTGCAACTTTGGAAGGAAAAGGACAAGCTAGGGTGCCAAGTTAAGAACATGTTTTCCAGTGGCTTATCTGAAAAGAGCCAGGTAGGGCCTCTTGATTGCCATGTTGAGAAATGTTTTTCTAAACCAGACGTGGCCATTAACTCTGAGAACCAGGCAAAGACATGGCAGTGAGAAATACTGGGGAAAGTTATAGAGAAGCAGAAAGGAACTAGGCTAACTTAACTGTAAACTTTTTCTGGCACAGGTGGGTTGTTCTCAGTTACTGAAAGAGTCTGAGAAGCCACTACAGACTGGCCTGCCTACAGGGCTGAATGAGAATCAGTCAGGGGGCCCCTTGGGAGGGGACAGCCCATCTGCTGGTAAGTATTTATTTAGAGACCCATCTGGGGAAGGAGGCTCAGGGAGATAGATGTGTTTGAGCACTCATTGTTAAATAGTAATTATTTAAAGTGGGAGTTGTATGAAGTCCAGCCACATGCAGGAACATTTTGATATTAAATATCAAAATGTATAGAATCACACAAAAGGAGTTCCCTATAGAATTAGGGTAATTTTATCAAGCTAACCTCTTGAATTATTTACTCTTAAGTATGTATTTTTCAAAAGGTGATGTAAAATAGGATATTTCTAAATTTCCATTTCTCATTCTAGGTTTTATCATCTATATTAAGGACTCCAGTTTATATTACTCCCACTGCTTTTGTAAACTTGTGTTGGGAGAGGGATCCAACATCTTTTTAGTTAGTAATTAGTTCCTCTCTCCTATTCTAAAATGCAGTTTTGTTGGCAACCTGAGAGTATAAATTGGGATCAAGTTAGTCACTGAAGATGGAAACTGGGCTGGTTTAAGTCAGGAAGGCCATGATGTTCCTGAAGGATGTGTCTTTATGGTTTTGGATTTTGAACTTTGTTTTAGGGATTCCGAATTAGATTGTGTAGGTCTTGAGGGGCAAACCCTGAAAGTAATTAGCCAGCTGTGGGCCTAATGATGGCCTGAGCAGCAGCGGGATCAGCAATAGGCTCCCAAGGGATGCGTTATTTTCCAGAGCTAGATAAGAAGGCGAACCTCCTGAAGTGTGAGTACTGCGGGAAGTATGCTCCTGCTGAGCAGTTTCGAGGCTCCAAGAGGTTCTGCTCAATGACCTGCGCTAAGAGGTACTGTGGGCACCTGCCCCTTCCTTACCTTCAGCACCAATTCCTCCATCGAATAGCGGGCCCCTTCCCTAGGATCACCTTATAGCTGACACTTCTGGTCTTCGCTTTTGTGTTCTTCCCCAAGTCGGTTCTTAAAATACCAACTCCCACGTAGCCATGGGTAGCCCGGCGGTCTCCTCTAGCACTGCCGACACTCCGAATATGCCCCGACCTGTAGGTATAATGTGAGCTGTAGTCACCAGTTCCGGCTGAAGAGGAAAAAAATGAAAGAGTTCCAAGAAGCCAACTATGCTCGCGTTCGTCGGCGGGGACCCCGCCGCAGCTCCTCGGACATCGCTCGTGCCAAGATCCAGGGCAAGCGCCACCGGGTGAGCTTCCGTTGCACGGCCAGCTACCTTTAAAATGGTCCTTCTTCCTTCCTCTTTTCCTGCCAGGCAGTTCCTTTGCCCTGATAAAAGAGTATGAGACCAGAACTCTTGAGTTCTGTATTGATAGCATTTGTCCAGATTCCAAGAGATCGTGACTCCTTGTCTCTTCTCAAGTGATTACTGGTTCATGTCCGCACTAATCATTATATCACATTATATTTGACAAAATCTAGATCGATCGTTGGAAGAAGGGGTGAATCAAGAAAGTGATAGTTTATACTTGGAAGTTACTTGAGGGTGGACTAGTGACTCCGGGCATTTGCCAACAAAGTACAGTTTCTTCACTCTAATACTAGTTTTTGCTCTGTGCCTAGTATTAACCCAAACCCCGTTGGCTGGGAAGGGGCGAAGAAAAGAAATGTCCTGACACTGTTCATGACCTCATGGCTTTGTGTTGTTCTCCGTAGGGTCAAGAGGACTCTAGCCGGGGTTCAGATAATTCCAGTTACGATGAAGCACTCTCTCCAACATCTCCTGGGCCTTTATCTGTGCGAACTGGGCATGGAGAACGTGACCTGGGGAACCCCAATACGGCGCCACCGACGCCAGAATTACATGGCATCAACCCTGTGTTCCTGTCCAGCAATCCCAGCCGTTGGAGTGTGGAAGAGGTGTATGAGTTTATCGCTTCTCTACAAGGTATTGAGGGCCTTATCCAGGAGAACCCAGATCACATACAGGTTTACTTTTCTTTAGATTATCCCACATGGGCCTTTGTGACAGGGAACAGAATGGACTTTTAAGCAGTAGGCACTTAAGTATGGTATGGCAGGGGATCTATTCTTCGTATTTACACAAAGTAACTTGCACACACCCTGGTTTAATTTCCTTTTGGGCTGATTGTCCTCTACTGTGTCAGCAATCTTGCAGTGTTTGATTTTCACTTTTCTATTTCTTAC